ACTTCCGCTGTAAACCATATGGTTATTATTTTTTTAATGTCCATAGTAAATTAATTTGAACGTTTTAATCTGGTACTGGCACTGTTTTGATATAGGAATGTTTTAGCAACAGTTACTGTGTTGCACGGGGACATTAATTATAGTAACACCAGTTTGTTTACAGCGGAAGTGGCCGCAGAGAAGCTGTTTTTACTCGTCATTTCGGGTCGAATTTCTCGGTTTTGGCCCGTCATTCGGTTGGTTTGTTTTGAAGGCTGTCCTGACGGAGTTTTTTAGGATGTTAGTCGGATACAGCAGCAGCTCTGATGAGGAGGAGGACGGGGAAGAAAACGGAAGAGATGCGGCGAAAACACGACGCCGAACCCGAAAAAGTTCCCGAAATTCTGTGGAGGAAGATCGCATAAATAGCGATGATTTCCCAGCGAAGAAAAAAAGTAAAATAGCAGATATGATTCCCAGAACAAGGTGTGGTCTGTAGGTTGTTGCCTTTTTCTTAGAAACTATTTATTCTCTTCATTCAGAACTCGTTTCTGTTTTTTTCCCCTCCAATATTTGATCATTTCACTTGATAACTTTCTTCTGGCTTTAACTGAAACCAATAAACACACTGTTAACAGTTTTAAATAAATTATTAATTTGATGCTACACACACAGAAATAAAGACCATTATTTCAGTTCATCCTAAAAAACATTTAAATTTAAAACTAATATATTAAATGCATACTACAGTATTGTCATACACTTTATAAAACATATACACCTTGGCTGTTTTCTCCACAGACTGCCTCTCCCTGGAAGCCTCCTGGACATGTTTCCTGATGAAGATAATCCTCAGACTGAAGACAGTTCCCTTCATGGTGGACGTGTCCGCTCCTTCAAGCACGAGAGAGGAAACTGGTCCACTTATGTTTATTTTCCTTGTAAGAGCAACTCAAAGGTTGAAAAAGAATCATAGCAGTATTTCAAGTCGATATATAATGACATGTTTATTTGTCTGTTTCTTCTTCACATCCAGACCATCCCGAGGAGGAGTTTCAGGATCTGTTGGAGGCGCTGCTGTCGGCAGCGGGGTCTCAGGGTCTGGTTCTGACCCCACAGGAAGAGTTCCACCTCAGTCTGTCTCAGACAGTGGTGCTCAGACACCACTGGATCCAGCCATTTACACAAAGTCTCAGGACAGACTTGGCCCACTGCAAAAGGTTCGTTTGGAAACTGCAAGAGCACAGAGCAAGGCCAATCACAGATTTTTTTACGATTTAACCAGCAACCCTCTCGCTGAGAGGCGGCAGCTCTACCACCACGCCCATCACATACAATGAATCTAATGTAATCAGTGTCCTCTCTTTTTGATGATCGTTATAGAAATGACAGTAAATACAGAGCAGTTCGCATTAAGTATGAAACTTGTGAGTTTTACATGAAAAACTGGACTGAGAGTGTTGTTATTCCAGATGTTTCTTGTTGGCAGGTTCTTCTGCTCAGCAGAGAGACTGAAGATCTACTGTAATGCCGAGAAGACGAGGTACAGCCTGTAAAATTCATCTACTGCCTTTCTTTCTTATTCTAATTTTAGTTAATATGTTTGGTCACTTCAGGCACCTAATTTCAGTCAAAATAATGAATTTTTATTTTGCAGGTTTGAATCTGCAATAAAGACATAGTTGGTATGGATGGTAGTTTAACCATCCAAAAAGTGTTTAGTTGATGTCAGATTATGTCAAACTCTTGGTTGAAATTCTTAAAACAGCTTTTTAATTATGACTTGTTCATATGCTCATTATTATTATTTCATTTTCACATGTTCCGTGTTGATTCTTCGAAGGACGTTCTTGGGGATAGAAGTGTCCTCGGGGCACACTCAGCTGTTGGATCTGGTTCAAGTTGTCGACAAAACAATGATAGAGTTTCAGCTGGAAACGTTCTATGAGGTCGGTGATGATTTAACACTGTCAAATAATTTCAAACCTTGTTTGAAGGAAATCTTGTTTGAATTTCTTTCATACAAGTTTTATGTCTAAATACAAGAGTTTATACATCCGTTCTTTAGGGTCTTTATGAACGTAATATTCTTATATTGTGATTTTAGTTTAAAGAAACATCCTTTTGTTTTTGGAAATAATTAATTTACAGAATGGAATGTTGGATGAGTTCATTATTGTTAAGTTTTATTTAAGAGGTACAGATAGAGAATAAATAAATGAGACGTAAACAAGTCTCCAATGCGACACAGAAAATAAACTAAAAATGACCAGAAAATGTTTCATTATGTTAAATATAATAACAAAAAATAAAAGTTTACGTCTAGTAGGAAGAAATATTTTGAGAAAGACTTTATATGTAAACAGCAGACTAATTTTAGCCATTATTTTGTCTTGAAATGACAATAAACTACTCAAATAACAGACAGCTGTGCTGATGCTCCCTCTGCTGCGTTTCGTAGGATCCATCCTTCCACGTGAGTTTGGCCTGGTGTGTTGGAGACCTGACAGAGAAGCTGAAGGAGATCTTAGAGGAGCTACAGGTGATCAGACTTCCTGTTAAATCTTAATACCGCAGACACCATCAGTGACTCTCTGCAGGAAGAAGTGTCACATTTTGTTGCCATTGTAGACCACAATACATAGATAATACGTACAATAGACCACTGGCATGTTTCAGTTTTTTTGGTTCGGTCACGGTCAAAACAGCCTTTCACTTCAACTTCAAAAATATCTTTAGTATAAAAAATTGGCAATATGTTTCCTTTTTATTTTCATGTTTATTTGTTTTTTGTTTAGACTGATTCATAAAGTTCTACTGTCATGAGTTGAAGCTGGAGCTCCCCCTTGTGGTGGCTGAAGCGTTTAGCAGCCAACAAACTAAAAAGCTAAAATTAAACAAATGCTAATATTTTTTAAATTGTGTATTTATGTTGGTGTTCCACCCTCAAGAAGGCAATCAGACATCAGCAGAAAATAAAATATAGATAATTTTTATTCACTTTTATCAAAGGTATTTTTTTAAAGTGAGGGGATAGAGTTAAGCAGCAGCTGAATCCAATGCTGCAGGAGATTTTAAAAGTGAACAATTATTAAAACTGTAATGTTTATATTCTGCTTTTTATACTTATCTCTGCAATCATTCGTTATAATTTAAAACCTTGCACTGACAGTTTATACTCCACGCGTTAAACGATCATCGCTCAGTCAGGTTAAAATGTGATGATGAGGAGAGTCTGCACAGAATCAGCTGGGACGTGTCGCAGTTTTAAAACTTCTCTTTTCACTTCTAGCCTCAGATACAAATACTAGCCTCTATACTCCATACAACACAGAAGTCCTTTTGTTTTTTACTTTAAAGACTTTGTATAATCCCGTCTTTTGGTTCAGGTGTAATGAAATAAATTAATGACTGAGGGTATGAATACGAGTTGTTTCAGTGAGACAGCGTTACCAGGATGCCCTAAACGTGTTTTCAGTATGCAAAACTTACTTTTTTTTTATTTCTGAGATCAAAAAGCACCATTTACAATCTTATAAGATTTTACAGAGTGAATTAGTATTTAAAGAGGAAAAAACACTTTTTTATTTTAATTATCACAGGATCTTGTCTTTTTTAAAGCTGGATTGATGAACTAGAGAGAAGAAGAAATGCAAACATTTAATAGTATTTCTTCCCTACATCACCCCAATTACTGTGAGCTGTATTTGTCATTGTGGCTTTTTAGTGATCTACCCTGGTGATACGACCCGGGAGGATTTTTTTTAGGTCCAAATCTAGCTGGAAAACCCTCGAACTTTGAGTTCAGACGCAGCTGTATTCTAGTTCTTCACGTCTGAGTTCATTTGGTTTTCGTTGTTCCAGAGTCTCGTATACGGCCGTGAAGATGGGCCTCTTCCGTTGGTCTTGGACTGTGCAGAAGTTCGCTGCAGGACGGGAAACAAGACTTTTCGCTTCTCTCTGGAAGATAAAACATGACCTAAACTGTTCAGTGGGTTTGACAGAGGACTCACCGAACGCTCAGGACGACAGGAATCTCCTTTAACAACCAGATATGGGATTTTTTTTAAAAGACGTTCAAGAAGCAAATATTATTTCTGTATCATTTTATAACTTGCTCTCAATAAAACTTTTATTTATTTATGTGTATTTTGTGTGTGAAGGGCACGGGACGTGTGTTTCATGCTGTGAAAAATGAAAGAATCCTCTCTGGAAGGAAGTTGTGCTTTTAATGAGTCATAGGCTGATATTTATTATATATATATATATTTATATTTATAAATTTATATTTATAAGAAGTTCAAACATTTTATTCAACATCATAACATCTCGGCCTATTATAACAAATAAATGCAGCTCAAGTCAATATGTCTTATTTTAGCATTTCTAGAACATATTTGTGCACAGCTTCACCAAACAGATCAGTTATTGTGGTAATTTTGTTTATTGACACTTAACAAAAGCTTAACTTTAAAATTTGACAATTGTCACAAAATTTGAATTTCTTCCTCGACAAATGAAGACATTTTATCTTTATTTTTGATGAAAGCAGCAAACCAAAAATCTGAAATATGTATTTGCTCTTGCCGCTGCTTGTCTGAAGAGGAAAGGTCAGATTATGTGACTTGCTGTCAGATTGAGAACCGTTTATGGGAATTTTAAAGTTTTATTTAAATGTGTATGTTCATGTTATGGCTTTATAATGTACAGAAAACTTTGTTTGTTCAATCAAATAAATCAGATTCGTCTTTCATGGTCTGTTACATACTTAACATAATGAGTTAAGTTTTATGTTTTAGCTTCATAAATACAGACGGATCTTCTCTGCACTTGTTTCACTTCAGCTTCAAGTTTCAGCTGCTGGTTCTGGTGTTTTTACGTCGTGTTTCTGTTCTTGCTGTGGGAAAATTAATGCAAAACAGACTTGGTTAAAGCGAGCACATGCATAAACTAGAAATGTGAGAAAATTAAACTGAAATCTTGTTTAGTTATTGTTGTCTTCTGGATCCTATGCACAAACCTCTGGCTTATTATTATACATTATAATAATGAGGCTTATTAACCTCTGGCTAACATTATTCACAGATCACTTGACTTTGCTGTGGTTACCAACATAAACTTGAGTCATTTTCAAGTTAGGTTTAGTCAAAACAAAGAGCCACATGTGGCCCATGAGCCACAGATTGCAGAACCCTGTCATGTGGACAGGTTGCCTCATGACGCAAGTTCTTGAAAACATCAAATTCAGAGGCATATTTTTATAGAAAAGAAGTCAAACATGTAACAACAGTTTAGAACAAAGAAAACTCAACATTGGCTGATTTTTGAAACAGTTTACTCTGTAGAAGGCAGAATAGTTTGACACATTTCACAGCAGATGTGAAACTTCAGTTCGTCGTCTCGGGCCCAGTGAGGGCTTTGCATGGCAGGGTACAGCGACTCGGCTCAGAACTGTTCTGGGCCCCAGGACTCGGGATTTTGTGTCCGAACAGAAAAGAAAACGTCCAGAAGATCAGTGTCAAAAGAGGCACACGACTCAAAATAAACCAGAGAAAATTCACCAAAAATTAAAAAAAGTTGTTTCAAAATAGATTCCAGCTGGCCCGAAGGACCAAAAAATGTTTTTTTTATTTTTTTTAAAAACTTTTTTTAACAACTTCCTATGGCTTACAGCGGTAACAGATCAGTCTCCACCTTTTAGAGATTAAACAGAAATAAGCAGTTTATAACTTCTGAAAAAGTAAACGAGTTTGTTCTCTTTGCAACTCATGCCACAAAACCAACATTCAGAGACTCCCAACTTGGCTGCGTGAAAAACATTTAAATAGAAATCAACAAACATCAGAAATCAGACAAAAATAAAGAATAAACCGGGTTTGTTAGTATTTTTTTTTTTACATAATTTCCTAAATCAGCCAACAGATTATGAAATAGGTTTAGATATTTTCTGTTACAATCAAAACGCTCACATTAATGAACATTTAACTCGGATTAATGAGCTAAAATGGCACAAACAGCATATCTCTGGTTCTTAACAGACTTTTTTAATTTTATAGAAGGCCTAAGAAAGTAAAATCTAGACTTTTTGAAAATCTAAGAACAGTAGAAAAGTATTTATTCTCGCTCAACAGTAAATATCCCATAAATTATAGGGTTACAGGTATAAATTTATTTATTTTCTGATTTATTTTAAACACATTTTGTCGAGTTTAAAGGTGTAAACAACAAATCTTTGGCAGTCTGCATTTGGAGAAACAGAAATTTGACACTCTGTGCAGAGAAATCTCTCATGGCGCCAGCAGCACGGTTTTGACGTAGGCCACGGTGGTGAAGTTCGTCAACATGTCCACGTGCTCGTTGTCGGGCAGCTCTTTGAGGAAGACGGGCTGCTTCTGCTGCTTCGACCACCGTTTGCACTGGATGGCGCTCCGCAGGTTCACCGTGCCGTCCCCGTCGCCGTTCAACACCGTCGGTTCCACGTCGGGGAACTTGTCGGAGTACTGGAAGGCCTCGGGTGTTGGGACGCCGGTGCCGTACAGGCAGTGGACGGTCACGCCGGGCGCCGTGAGGTCGGACACCAGCGGCTCCGTGTCCTGACGCATCAGCCAGCCTTCGCTGAAACCGATGTCCTTGTAGAGACGCTTATAGTCCTGCAGGGTGTAGTTGGTGGTGGGGGTCTGGACTAAAACCTGGAGGGGGATAAACATAAGTTCATGTCTTTGTTTCACTCACAGCAATTATTTTTTCTAGCAACAGATAAATGCTGTTTTTTAATACATTTTATATGTTTAATAACTGGTTTGTAAATTCCTCAGAACGTGCCACAGGCAGGTGCTAACTGGGTCAACGTCACCCACAGGTCAAACTGCAGGTTCTAATGCTCAATTCACGTTTTTGCTCCGATGGATTATTCTCATTATATTTTAAAAGCGACCTCCGTCAGACTCCAGTGTGAACAGTTCACGGTTCTGAGGCGAACTGAAGAAGACGACGCAATGTCACACGCTATGTTTACAGAAAAAATATGGATGCTATAAACGTTAACATGTGTGGATCCGTTCTGTTTCATCAGGTGTTTATATCTGATTTTTCCTCTTCCCCACTACTCTGAAGCAGACGTCTGTAATGGGAGAGACGTACCGAACGTGAAACAAACTTCAGTATTGATCCCATCGATCGATCTTACTTCTAACCTACAAAGCTCTCAACAACCTAGCTCCATCTTATATTTGAGATCTTATTGTTCCATATTTTCCTAAAAGAGCACTTTGCTCTCAGACTACAGGCTTACTCGCGGTCCCTAGAGTTTCCAAAAGCAGAATGGGAGGAAGATCTTTCAGTTATCAGGCTCCTCTCTTGTGGAACCAACTTCCAGTTTCTGTCCATGAGGCTAACACATTGTCCAGTTTTAAGACCGGGATTAAGACTTTCCTTGTTGATAAATCTTATAGTTAGGGTTGGCTTGTTATGCTGCCTTAAGCTTAAGACTACTAGAGGACAAATCAACCTCATTTCCTTAAATTAATTGTTAAAATTGAATAGTTTTCATTTGATATTATTTCTATCTCAACATGATTCTTGACCTGCCATTGTGTATCTGTTCCTACCAAACCCAGCTGGTCGAAGCAGATGACCACTTGTCCTGAGCCTGGTTCTGCTAAAGGTTTCTTCCTCATGTGGGAGTTTTTCCTTTCCACTGTCGCCTTCATGCTTGCTCGAGATGAGAGTTCTGTGATGGAGTTAAATTCAAAGCAGTCTGCTCCTCAGATAAATTGTGTTAAACTATTATTTTTCTATATGAATATTTCTGTTCAGTGCCCTGAGATGACTTCTGTTGTGACTTGGTGCTATATAAATAAAATGAACTGAATTGAAATCGACACGACCTGACTCCAATGTTGGTATCATAAGTCGCTGCAGACTCTCAGTCATCCAGGATATGGCAAATAAAAAGAAAGATGAAGCAACAGGTTTTTTTCTTTGTAGCTGCAGACGAACTGATTAGAGACGAGGTTGGTATCAATATCATCAATACTTGGATTGATCCACACCCCTACCTCAATGATGCAACAGTCGAATGAAATGCAGCATGACCGTTCAGACTGAGGTCATTTAAAATAAAAAAACATCAGATATGCATCCGATTTATTGCCACCTATGAAAAGAAAAGGACCCGAGTTGGATTAGAAAAAAAAAAACCTGTCACATTCAGACAGTCTGCAGAACGAAGACGGACTAAGATCATCTTCTGATGAGAGAACAGTTATGACCGTCTTGACCTTTCAAGATCTTGTGAAACGTGTTAGCTCTCAGAGTATGTGTTGTTATTGACTCTCATCGACTACCACGCCACAGTTTAACTCAACATCTGTGGAACAGACAGTTAGACATTTTTGTGTCTATACTTGCTTAGCCGTGGCAGCCATCATGATGAATGGGGCTGACTCCAAAGGTCACTTGTAGATGTACATCCAGTGAGTTTCATTAAAATCCATCCAGTGGTTCATCAGATATTTTGCTAACAGACAAACAAACAAACACACACAGACCTTATCTTTTGGCCAGGAGTGTGCGTAGGGGAGGAGCCAGCTGGTGGAGATGGCGGTACGCTGCTGGGAGCGGATCTTCAGTGGGCTGATCACCGGGATTCGGTTATTATCTCCTAAAGTCGGAGAACAAAGACACGGAACAGAGAACCGAAAACGGAGAGTGAGAAGAGAAGCCGACTTCCTGAAAGTTAAAAACTGTAAAACCGATTGCAAGAACAAAAAAGAAAATCTCCTTTTCGTGGCAAATGAAACTGTTTCTTTACTCTTGTTAAAAGACCTAACAAGGGTCGTCTGGACGGATTCTTCTTCAACAAAGAATAATCTGGCCAGATGTCTTGACTTAACCTTGTTGGATTTTTCTACCTGGATTATTGAGCATGCATCAGGACACTTTGTAAAAGACGAGAACTCTGTCGTTTCTCTACAGAACATATTCTTAGTTTAACACTCAGACATGAAAGGTGCCGGGCGATGACTCTTATTATTTTTGATACAATATATCAAATGTTTTGGACTAATAATGCTCGTCAAATTATTTAATATTGATTTTTAAAAATCAATCTGAACTTTCTCAGTACAATGATGGTGCTTTGCCACCGACTCAACCCTCCTCGGCTCCGTGCGACACGGTACCAGCTAATGGCCTGCCCACTGTTGGTATCCACCTCCACTTAGCTCGATTTATGGGACCACCTTGTTTGAGGTTCCACCAAGCGGGCTGCTCTGAGGGGCAGAATTTGACGTAAGCAGACAGCAGCCGTTGACTGGCCAGCGGATGACCCGCCCAGCCAAACTGCAAATTCTGAGCTGGACGGCGCCACAAGAAATGAGCGGGTTTATCAAGAGATGATGGTGCAGCAGTGCCGAGATAAGATAAAGAATTTGAAGTCGGATTATAGGGCGATTAAGGACTACAATGGGCGGAGTAGCTCGAACACAGTGACCTGTTATGATCCCACCCGCAGAGCAGGGAAACAAGTCACAGTGGCAAATCACCTCCACCTGAGAAGACGAGAGCCGAGTGGAGCTGCACTTTTCAGTGGCAAAGCAGCTTACACAGACTCGCTATCCGCTCATTACTAAACCATTTTTTATTTTCTCCCTTACCAGACGTAACCACTCGAAGCGTTTTGGCCACGCCGGCCCACGGGGCTCCCAAACAGATGAACGCTTTGACGTATTTGTCCTTCCAGGCTTGCGGCTGCTGGTTGAGGAAGTACAGGGTGTACATGTTGCCCATGCTGTGAGCGATGAGCACCACGGGCCCCCCGGCCTTCTGCGCCATCTCCTCGATCATCTGCTGCAGCGCCAGGAAATACTCTTTATTCTCATCTGGAAGGAGAGGAGAAGCAGGAGGTGAGGACACATGACTCCCCCTCCATGGTCCAGAGTGTCGTGTCTTACTTGGGGCTTTCCTCCAGTCGTAAGGAGCTCCTCTGACATCATCGTCTCTGGTGTAGCCCCACTCCACCATCGCCTGCACAATGCTGAAGAAGTACATGCCTGAAACGCACAGAAACAAGAGACCAATTGTGAACGATGTCCCGGGAAGCAAAACTAACAGAGACTGAGCACAGAACCTGCTCCGGAGCAGTTCATGTTCAGAGTTTGACAATAAACCATCTGTACAGAGTCCAACCAGTTCCATGATATTTTTCATGGGAATATTAAACACCGTGGAGGAGTTTAAGTATCTGGGTGTCTTGTTCTTGAGTAATGGTAAGAATGGAACAGGAAATGGATCAACAGATCGTCCACAGTAATGAGAGCGTTGTGTCGGTCGGTCGTGATGAAGAAAGAGTTGAGTCGAAAGGCAAACCTCTGGATTTACTGGTCTGTCTACGTTCCAACCCTCACCTGTGGTCTTTAGGTTTGGATCTTGACTGAAAGGACCAGATCCTGGATACAAGCAGCTGAAATGAGCTTCATAGGGTGGAGGAGCTCAGCCTTAGAGGAGCTCCATCATGTGGGGGAGCTCTGAGTACAGACGCTCCTCTTCATCGACAGGAGTCAGCTGAGGTGGTTCATCTTAGGACACCTCCCATTGGAGGTTATTCAGGCATGTCCCACTGGAAAGAACCCCCTGGAACTCTGGAGGGATTATAAATCTGGATCTGGGAACATCTCAGGGTCCCCCATGAGGAGCTGGAGAGTGTTGCTGGGGAGATGGAGGTCTGGGTTTCTCTCCTGGACCTGTTGCCTCTACGACCCGATTTTGGATTAGCAGCAGAAGATGGAGATTGTAAATAAAATAAACTGGCAGAAACGCTGATGTCTGAAACTAATTTATTTAAAAACTCTTGATTGATGTTAAAACGCATCAGACTGCTGACTCAGCATTCACATTATTAATAAGCTTCTTGCTCCTTAAGAGAACAAAGATGATACATTTACTTCAGAACTTGCAGGATTATGAGTCCTATTTGACTCAAACAAGAAACTTTACAGCTTCAGTAAAATAAAATAAAAAAATAACTGGACAATTCTTATCAGATTACCATGAAAACCATAAATAAAGATGATACTGGGAGAAGGACTGTATGTGGTTTTAAAAGTGTCTAATTAAAGAATTAGAAAAGTTGTATTTCTACGATACTGTAACATTTCGTGTGCTTTTTTATTTGAATTGCTTACAGCATGCAGTTCTTCTGAACGAAGCATCATACGCATCGTTAATAATCTACAACTTGAAAGGGATAACTGATTTGTTCTGTCTGGAAGAAGCATCATCTTGATGTGTTAAAGATCAGAACCAGTGTTGCTGATGAGTTTTGGGTTTGGTTGAGCGGGCTAACACAAAGACACCCAGCTTGGTCCAACTGGTTTTGTGAACTCGGACTCACCAACGCTACGTTTGCTGGGGTCCAGGTACTCCAGTGCGTATGTTTTGCCGAAGCCCGGGACCCGGATGCTCACACCAGGCGGGGCGGAGGAGGTGCGTGTGGTTTTGTTGTAGATAAGCCTGCACACACACACACACACACAAACACACACACACACACACACACACAAACACACACACACACACAGTTTGATTTCAGTCTGCATCACTGACACCAGGAAACATTACTACAAAGAAACAGAAACAATTCCTTTTTTCTAATCTGAGGCTCCACCACATTCATGAAGTGAGAAAACAAAACTTCCCCAACGCCGGTTTTATTTTACAGAGCAGAAATGAAACGCTTGGTGATTTGCAAAGCAGAAGTGACTATTTTGATTCATCTGACCACAGAACAGTTCTCTTTGGCAGGCCTGAAGATGGCAACCATCAAATATCGACTTTCATCCTCGTCCTTTGAGCTCAGAGATCTCTACAGATTCTTCAAAGCTTCTGATGTTATGAACTGAAGATGATGGGAGATTCAAAGTCGTTCTAATTCTCCATTCAGGAACATTATTCTGAAATTGTTACACTATTTATCAACAGTCTTTCCATACTGGTGATCCCCTGCCCATTTTTACTTCTGAGAGATTCAGCTGTAAAAACCCAGTTCCTTTTACTGAGCCGTTGACCTAATAAATTATTCATAACACTTATTTTTACAGCCTTTTGTTGCTCCTGGTTAAAGATGCTAAGCTTCCATCTACCGTATTTTCACGTCGCATCGCCCTATAAGTTGAATCAGTCCAAAAATGTCTAATAAAGTGGAATGCATAGCTTTGCCGTATACGTCGCGTCTATTATGTGTCACCACTGACAACCCAGAAACGTGGGCCGGTGTTGTGCCAACAATCAATTGGCTGCCAAATGGTGGCTGCGGGAGAATGCACCGGAGGACTTTAACAAGATTAACACTTAAAAACAATTATTTGTTTGCTCGAAATTATAGCAAAGGTGTGTCTCAGTCTAATTTTTCCTTAATAAATGCACTTTGATGGTCAAATCAGCTGCATTTCAAAAGTATTCGCTGCCTCGGTGCTCCGGGAGCGTGCAGAGGGAGGAAATCAGGAAAGAGGAACGCTGCGCATTTCTTCGAAATTTAACAAGATAAGCAACTAAAACAATTATTTGTTTGTTCGACTTTATAGCAATAGTGTGACTCAATTAAACTTTTACTTAATAAATGCACTTCAATGGTCAAATCAGCTGCATTCGCCGGGGCGGAGCAGCAAAATTAAGCTGATTTGACAGTTACTCCAAGTGAGCAGAACGAAGGTGGCAGGTTATGGCAAGCTGATTGTGTCATTAATAGCCACTTTACCTATTACATGATACAACAGCATGCCATACCCGCTTCGGTGTATAAATCGCTGGGCATGCAAATTATGCAAAAAACTGCGACTTATAGGCCGAAAAATACGGTAATTCAAAATCGCCTTTTATTTTTCTAAAAACTGCAACATTCTTAGTTTAAACACATGATCTGTTAACTATGTTCCAAATAAAATATGGGTTTGAGATTTGCCAACTATTGCATTTTGTTTTTTTTACATTTTACACAACGTCCCAACTTTTTATTGGATTGGGTTTGTATAAATTCTGTAATATTTGAAACAACACGTCTTTGTTAAAGTTTAAAAAGACAAAGGCGTTGCGACACCCACCGGATGTTGTCGATCCAGCAGTCGATGGCGACGGGCACCAGCAGCTCCAGGTTGAGCCACAGAGTGAAGAAGGAGTCGGTCTTCTTGTAGCAGATGTAATGGACCACGCTGGGTTTATTCAGCTTCGCCTCCAGCTGGTTTCCCAGATCCCCCGGAACTGCAAGAAGCAGCGTTTACAAATCAGACACAAACTGGTAAAAACTGGCTAAAACTAATCGAACCTTCTAACTCGTACTCTATCCCTCCACCACCACAGGCAGTCCTACTCCGGACGGGTCCAGCATGCTGCATGAACACCAGAACATGGACTGTACTTGACAGCATCCAGTTCAGAAACATCAAAGAGTATTTATGGTATTTTGATGAACATCATGTTGGAATTTAAACGAATAAAGAACCTAAAGTGCATTAAAGGCTCAACAAACGTTTCTTTATATGTAGTTATGTTGAATCCAATCCAGCTGAATTATTTAAAAATCACATTAACTCTTTAAAACAAAAGCAACTAAACTCGGAGAATAATTTTACAACTAAATAGAGTATGTTAAAAAAAATTACAGTTTGAATCTTCTGAAAGCTGAGAAGAGCAGGTGCTGCGTGGAGAAATAAATTAAATTAAACGATCTAGGTAGGAAAACTGGGCATTTTGTTTTCCAATAGTTTATAGTGATGTTATTAAAATGTTGAAATATTTACAGAAAACAAAAACAATCTGGGATCTTCAGACTCTCACTGGAATAAAAACATTTAAATCTGTTGTGGAAATCACCCCCCCCCCCATTACCCAACGAGTCACTTGCATCACGTGCAGAAACATCAGAGCGAGTTACAACACGTGGCGTCAGCAGTAACAAACACCGGCCTCCACATTTTGAAACACGCTGAACACTCGGCGACACGCCAGCGTGACACTGCAGGACCAAACTGTTGAGAAGAAAACACTCCAGAGCTGCTGAACGCTTCTCTGAAGAGAAGGTGAAACACATCGCTGCAAAACAAGTTCCTGCGTGTCAAACGTTCAACATAACAAAGTTCAGTCAGGTCATCTGGACGGTTTCTTTTTTTGTTGAGACGTTCCGTCCTTCATCCAAAGGACTTCATCAGTCCAAGGAGCCACAATTAACTCAGTGCCACAAGCAAGCCCATCGGATGAAACGTCTCAACAGAGAAAAAAAGAAACCGTCCAGATGACCTGACTTAACGTTGTTGGATTTTTCTTTTTAACCTGGATTATTGAGCATGCATTCAATATAGTCTTAAAAACACATGCAAAATAATATAATTTGCTTTTATCTTTTCTAAACATCCATTTACTTTTTGACAGGCAGCTTGTGCATTTTAATGTCCATGTTTTCATCTTTGCCATGTATTTAGATCAAGCTGCAAAGTTTATATTTATATGTTCCTTAAAAAATAAAAACAACAAAAAGAGTTTTCCTTTTTTTTTTTTTATTATATATATATATATATATATTCTGGTATATACGGATGATAATTCCTGTATTTTTACAGCCATTTCAGACAAAATATCAGTTTAATGTTTCCAATAAAACCTTCCTTGAAGGAATGCATATCGCCCGCCACCTTTCACTCCAGAGTTTTAGACTGAAATGTGTTGAGAGATTAAGTTGTAGTCGTTTAGGTCAAATAAAATAAAAAAATAAAAATCACATTAGGGACATTATCGAGAGAGGCTGCACTCAGAGTATGTGCTGTGAATGACTCTCAGCTACTGCCACACCACATTATAACTCAATTCTTACAAAACTGCGTTATCTCCATTTTTGCGTTTATGAAGATGAATCGAGCGCGGCGGCCGTTTTAAATTGGGTCGACTCTAAAAGTTAATCAGTTGTAGACGCACATCCTGTGATTACTCCCTGAAGGGTTCATTCAAAATCCATCAGTGGTTCGTGAGATATATTTTGCTAACAGACACGCACACATATACAAAAATAATTCTGTTCCGCTGTTGTCAACACGACCAAATTATAGCACAATTAATTTACAAGATTATAAAAGAAAATGCAAAGATCTGTTTGTTTGTGTTGCAGCGTTTATGTTAAATGCTTTTAAATGGATGATATAAATGTAGTAATGGGTTTTCCAATAACAACGGAGTAAAAACAAGCAGAGAAAAATTGTTATTGAGTATTATATGTGTAAAAACTGATCACCAAGAAAACTTTCCTAATGTTGACGCGATTATGCAACCCGGAGTCAAACGGAGCGTGTTTGCGGCTGATTAGATCCATCGATCGTGGTGCCGAGGGTCGCTGCAGGATTTCTTCACCATCTCCGGCTGCTGCGCTTTCAGAAAACACTCAGGATTATCTGCGCCGAGATACACAAGTCCTTCCTGACCCTTGAGCGGCTGTAAAAACGATCTAGAATAAAGAGAACGTTTACCAAAGATTGATCTTATCGAGTTTATTCAACTTTTGTAGAGGTTTGAAACGAGAGCAGGTCGAGACTCTTACGGCGTGGTCACACAGAAGCTGCAACAAGCTGAGAAAACTCCTCAAAACATGAATAAAAGACAGGAACAGTTTTATCGTTTAAAATGGAACGAGAATGAGAAAAGTTCATTGTCTGCTGAGCTGACGAGTCCAGTTCTGTTTGTGCTCGGTCATATGACCAGGACATGCACGCTTCTAGAGACTTCTCAGACACGCACTTCTTTTTTTATACTCATTTTGAACAAAGTTATCCATTTTTGTTGAAATATTTGGGTTCAAATATACTACAGGCACTTAAACCTAAGAGATGAACAAAACATAATGAAAAAGTAACAGAAACATCTTGAAATCCTTTTCTTTCAGCGTTTTTGTACAAATATCCCGACACAAAGATACACAACAATATTTACTTTGTGAAGTTTTGTCAAGAAAAAAATGTCAACAACAATGTTGACAAAACATTTTTTTTAGACAATCAAAAAAACTACATGTACAACTGATAAAAGCTTCTAACAAGAATATTTAGGAGAATTAAGAAAACTAATTTAGCAAAAAAACCACCTGATTTACTGAATGCAAAATGTTCAGGTAATTAGGAATTACTTTGTTAAAGCTAAAATCATATTTTCTGTTAAACTGAGTAATTTTTGGTATTGTTCAGAGATTTAGACACAGAAATGGGAACAAATGAAGTTTTTCTGACAAGCTGTTTCTACCAAAAAGCTCAAAGATCCAGTTTAAATTCAGTTGTTGCTAAATTATCTGGTCCTCATTTTAGGAGCATTTTAATGCCTGAATAGTTCCAAATCAAAGTTAAGAAGCTTAAATTAACAAACAAACAAACAAACAAAAAGGTGAAACAAGAAGTGGCCTGAATCCAGTGTGTAAATAAAAGCTTTTAATGCCCGGAGAATTGTTATTTACAAACATTATGAAAGTATGTCTCACTAGACAAACGTTTTTTTTTATTTTTAAACCTTGGTCCTACATCAAGGCTAGCCTCAGTAAAAATAAATAAATAATAATAATAATTAAAAAAAAAAAAAATATATATATATAAAACTGCACTTGGTTTTCTGATTTAATATGTCCAGATTTTTTATTTATTTATTTCAAATTATGTCAAGTTAAAAAGTCACTTTTAAAACTATGTCTTTATTAGCAACAACTTTTAAACTGATTAATAAAGTTAGTTTTTTTACTTTATGGGACAGCTGCAGTAATCAGTAACATTTCAATCTTGATACAGAAAAAAAAAATAAAAAATTTCTGAACAAATTAAAGATGATTTTAACAATTAGAATGTTCCTGACCTCAGCTTCTGCTAGCTGCTATGAGCATCGGAGGCTCAGTCAGATTGACTGGCCCAAAATATGATCTCTTGGGCCGGACAAGTCAGCAACAAGTGCCATTTCTGGCCCGCGAGCCTCGACTTGATCACATGTGCGTTTAGCTGCAACATTAAACTAAATAAACAGCGAGTCCGTTAAAAACAACACTATTGTCCTGTCACCATTAATTAAGTCAAATTATTTTCACAGAGAATCCGAAAATTAATCAGGAAGACATCCTGACAGCAGAAAGTCTGAAAACAGGAGTCATAAAAAACGACCAACACGAAACACACGAACTTACTGAGGACGACCGGGGGTCTCGGGCTGGAACACGACTTGTCTCCGAGACATTTCTCCGTCGGTCTCCCGCCGCTCTGAGCCGACAACAACAACAACAAACCGACGGAGAGGGCTGCTAACCGGGTCCGTCCCGCCATGGCTCCCGATGTCTCATAGCCAAACGGTCCCTCTGTGTCGCCTCCTCGGTGTGTGAGAGCAGGTCTGCCGCTGAAAGTTCCTGGGTGTCAGTTAAATCTCCCTGAACGTCCCACCACAGATAAACACCCGATAACGATGACCAATAAACAGAAAAACGGTCACGAGACACAGAGCACAGAGAAATCGATCCGGAAGTCAAAATAATCTATCGCAGACGTCATCGAGCTGCGCAAGGGGGTGTCTTCGGAAATACAAATATGAAAGTAGGGCACACCATTGTATTATATAATCATATGACATACCCCTGTCCAATAACTTTTTTTAATAAATAATATTAGCATTTCTTCAAGTCAAAATGGCATTTAAACTAATCAGAATTGCAACTAAGAAATCTATAACGACACTCCTATAAGTAAAATGTACAATATATAATGTACATAACACAAAATTAAAAAATAAATTTTAGATTATTCAGATATTATTTAATGTTTTTGTTTTCTGTAGTGGTATTTAGTTTTTATTATTTTATGTATGGTTTCATTATACAATCGTTTTAACTTGAAACTTTAAATTCTTAGGAATAAATGTGTAGCTGTGTTTTTGACCTTTAACATGACAAAGTATATTATGTTTTGTTTTTTCACAATATTCTGTGTAGAACGCAACACAACTACAAAGTTATCTTCTACATGATCACCTATAGAAAGGGAACTGGATGGCACAGCCTCTGTTTCCACAGCTTTTAATGTTGCAAATGTACAATAAACCCTTATTCTGAAAGCAAATTTACAAAACATATATATGAGAAACAAACAATCTAAAAGTTCTTATTTAATCAAGGGCCATCTTCACTGTTAAAACCTAAAATAAATATTTCTTAGAGGATAAACAGCTTTAACAGCACAGGTTGTGTGAAAAACTTTTAAACAGTGAAAATATGTGTAATTTATATTCTGTTCCAAATGGGTTCAGATTATAAACCCAACCAACTAGACTGATGACATGTGGATGAGATTATCCATTCAATGCAGAAAACTTTATTGTGAAAATAAAAAAAGGTAATGTATCTGCTTTCAAGCATCATATACAAATGTTGAAGTGTTTATTAAACATCGAGGATTCACCAAGCTATCAAATGTTAAGCATCTTACGCTTTAACTCTACAGATATATAAAACCTGAAAGGAAACACACTCAATAAAACCTTCCCCATAATTTTGGGTTGTATGTTTTTTTTTTTTTTTTAAAAGATAACACAGATTTAAGTACTTTTCTATAAACGATACACAAACCAAAAAGACGACACTGAAAAATCAGCAGACTAAGCAGAATAAATGAATCCAGGAAATCTTAAAGGGGTAGAGGCAGGGCAGCCGACTCAGGACCCGAAAGTCCCAGGTTCGATTGCTAGTCATTGCACATCTCGTGGTGTCTCTGAGCAGCACACCCTATCCCCAAATGCTCCCCGGGCCTTTCAATAGCTGCCCACTGCACCACCTGGTGGTGGATGGGTTAAATGCAGAGAGCCAATTTCGCCGTTGTATGGGAAAACACAATAATGACAACACATAACACATTATTATTATTAATGAAATACATTTCTAGTCTTTGTGATCTATAATTGTTCACCTAACTGCTTAATGTTATTATAATCAAATTAAAACGTTACTATAATTACCTAAGGCAGGAACAACACAGCCTTCGAGCGTTAAACGCAATCTGTCTTTAAAGTCAGCTGTTTAAAGATCCAGCACTCTTTGTGGTATTTGAAGCATCTGATGTGAATTCTTTTTCTTCAAACCGGACGTCGACCTCTTTGGGACCGTCTGATTTTCCCTCCAAGATTTCCTGGATTTGATTGAGCACCTTTTCGTGGAACACTATGTCCAGGTGGGCCAGTCCTCTGTATTCTGTCACGTGGACGGGTTGCTCCTGCTGCCCCTCCCATCCTTTGCACAGCCCCATGCTAAAGCTGTCCACCGTGTCGTCACCGTCCGCATAAACAAAGTCCACCGGGTCCCCGTCGGGGAACTCCTCGTTGTAAATGTGAGTTACGGAAGTCGGAAGCCCCACGCCGTACATGCACCACACCTCCACACCAGGCGGGTGGAGAGCACTGGTCAGGTTCTTGGTGTCTTCATATTTGTACCTGAGGTGAATAGAACAGGAAACACATCATTAATAGAAAACAAGGAACCAGAGGCAGGACACTATTTATTACTTTACATTAAAAGCTGATAATACCCACACAGACTGAACACAACTGCAGGAATGCGTCTTTTGGGTGATTCATTCAAACGTCGCCAACAGGAGGTGCTGAAGCACCACAGCAAGTGTAAAACACAGAACAGTCAAAACCACAGAGCAAAAGATCTGTTTGAAACTCTGTGGTTCCACCTGGACTTTTCTGAGAAGGATCAATAAACGAGCTGATCATCTACACGAGGACGAACAACACCTGCTAAACCTCCAGGAAAACGTTTAGGTCTTTCCTTTGAATGCATTAATCAGTTCCTTCCTGTTGGCAAAGCCTCCGCGCACCAAATCCTAATGAATTAACCGAGCGAGTCGGTGCACAATGAAGCTGAGCGTGGAAGAAAAACCTGCTCAAAGATGTCTGGATAAAGGGTTAGCACAAAATCCTATTTATATTTTCAATTTAATAATAATAATAAAATATAGACGTCTCAAAACATGAATAAACTTATAAAAGGACTTCACTTAATCATTTTAATTGGTCAGAGTTTGAAAGATAAAGAAGCAGCATCATTCACAGGTGCTGTGAAAATAATCTGCACTGTCTAAACTTCTTTCAGCTGTTCCCTCTTTAGGAGTCTCCACATGGAGCAATCCTCCATCTTACTCTGTCCTCATTCCAACTACCTCCATGTCCTCTCTAACTTCATCCATCTGTCCATCCTTCATAGCTCTTATGGTACATATGGCACCTACAGAGACCAGGTTGTATTACCGTATAAAGAGATGTTACCACGTATCTAAAGGTTACATACAGTACCTGGTAAGTATTTGATAATCATTCTGGTGGGATAGTGTCTTGCCAATGGACACTTCAGCAAGCTACAAGAGCTGGGAATTAATCTCCAACCCTCCAATCAGAAAGCAACCTCCCTACCACTGGACCAAGCTGTCCCCCCATACCATATGTACTTGATAAGTCCCAGTGCGTACCAGGCTCTATTGTTACCAAATTTTAACCAAATTCGTTTTGTTTCTGTAAACTTGTTATAATCTGTCATCTTGTCTGTAATTCTTGTCCTTCTCTTATTTCCTTTTTCTGTTCCTAGTGTTTTGCCTCCATCGGGTGGTCTGTCCAAGTTACTACTTCCTCATTAAGTTCCCGTTTTCTTCACCTGTTGTTCCTCCCAGCTCTGTTTGTCATTTGTCTCGTCAGTGTTTGTGTATTTACGTCAGTGTGTTTTGTTGTCTGGTATCTGAGCATTCCCTCATGAAGACTTCTGCCTCCAGTTTCATGCCCTTCACTACGTCCTGGTTTTTGTCTCCCCTCATGACCTCTTGTTATTCATGTAAGTTTATGCTGCCACATCAGCCCTTTAAAAAAAAAAATCATTAAATACCTTTTCTTTACTCTTAACCTGAGTTGTCCGAGTCCTCCCTGCATTTTTGGGTTCAAACCAATACCAGATCCTTACAAAAGCTGAATTTATTGGTGTTAAATTAGTTAATGACATTTTTTTTCTTAATTGGAATACTAAGAAAAACAGCTGATGCAGTTTTTCATTCTGGTAGAACACACACTGCTTTTGCACTTTTTAATGATTTGTTTTTCCCAAAAGTCAGCTGAAAAGGGTGCTCATCTGATTGCAAAAGAGGGTTGGCAACCGCTTTGCTCTTGAAGAACTCGATAGCTCTGTGAATTACCAGCCATCCTCGTAGTCGATGTCCATGAAGAAGCGCCGGTAGTCTCGATTAGTGTAGTTGCGGTTTGGCGTGGAGACAAAAACGTGGTCCTCTGGCCACACGCCCTCAGTTGGCAGCATCCAGGGATTAGTTGTTACCATCCTCTGCTTTTCACGGATCTTAATGTTAGAAATCATTGGAATGCCATCGTTTTCACCTGCCATGAGATTCAACGGAAAAGTTTAAAAAAACACAACAAGGTTTTTAATCAGTTTGAGGTATTATGCTGAAGAGACAAGAAGGCAGAGTTTTACAGCATATCTTTGAGTAACACTGATGATTTCCAGTTGTAGAACCCGTTCCGACTCACACCATTGGGTTCTTAGCTAAGTATTACCTGAGGCCAGGACCCGGATTACTTTAACAGCACCCCCCCAAGGGACGCCCAAGGAAATGAAGCCCCTGATGTACTTGTCCTTCCAGGCCTGGGGCTGTTGATTCAGGAAGTAGAGGACGTAATGGCCGCCCATGCTGTGTCCCAGCAGGTAAACGGGTTTCTGGTACTGGTCGTACATCTCCTCGACCAGGCCCTGCAGCTTCCTGAAGTACTCTGCATTTTCATCTGCAGGAAGTGGAGACAGAAGGGCTGTTTGTGCACCGTAATCTAAAAATACGAGGAGATGGTCACATAGTTTCCTCTACTTTACGGCATCTGAAATACCAATAAATTATGAACAACGTCCCTTTGCTGATGCAGATAACAATAATCTCATGTAGTTCCCCATAACCAAGTTTTTTTTAACAACTAGTGGATTTTAAATTTACTCAACTTAAGCATAACATATTTTTAATTGCCTTTGTACACCTTTACAGCTTTTATCTCTTAACAAAACTCGGTATGACAATTTACGGGACAAAGCAAATGGAGACATATTTATCTGCTCAGGTGTCAGTGAAAGTGAAAAATGAAGGGAGAAAACGTCAACAGTACATGATTATGAGTATTTAATTGTAATAAGAGACTCAACACTGACTTTTAGAATACAAATTAGGGTTTGTGAGTAAAAATTAAAACTCACTGTTAAGATTTTTTTAATGGAACAGTTAAAGGAGCAGTTTATTGGCTGAGGCAGATAAAAACTAACCAAAACGATGACCCAGAGGACTCAGTGGTCTCTTATCATGCAGATCATATCTCATAATAAAGCTATCATATAAAAGATGTTTGCACTGAATCTCTGATGGTTCAGAACGAGATTCTTTGCTCTCCATTTGCACCAAACATTTTGGTTTGATTCTTGACATGCGTCACTCACCCTCCACACAAACTGTACTGATTAACTGACACATTAATTTCACATTAACCTTTAATTTAGGTTTATTAAGTGGCAGTGGAATGGTGGCCAAGTTGGTAGAGCTGCCGTCTCTCAGCGAGAAGGTCGCTGATTCAAATCCCAGCCTAGGACCTTTCTGGGTGGAGTTTGCATGTTCTCTCCATGCATGCGCAGGTTTTGTCTAGGTACTCCAGTTTCCTCCCACAGACCAAAAACATGCATGTTAGGCTGATTGGTAACTCTAATTGTCCCTAGGTGTGAGTGAGAGAGTGAATGGTTGTTTGTGTCTATGTGGCCCTGCGATGGACTTGCGACCCGTCCAGGGTGTACCCCGCCCCTCGCACAGTGATTGCTGGACATGGGCACCAGCGACCCCCGTGACCCAAAATGGAACAAACGGGTAAAGAAAATGGATGGATGGATGGATGGATGACCCCCATGACGCAAAAAGGAAAAAGTGGGTAAAGATAATGGATGGATGGAAGTTAAGATGAAAATTGAAAATACCCGTATATTGTTTTGTTCAAACTTTGTGAGCTGCCTCCTTTGATTTGTTATGGTTTTAAGCTTGGATTGGGGCTCGTCCGGGATAATATTGTTACAGCCAGCTCAAAACCATAACATACATCAACAAAAATAAGAATTATCTCATTTAAAATAAACTCTATGAAACAATGTCCGATAACAAATCAGATTTAATTAGTTTTACTTTAAAGTAACATTTTTTTAATTATTTAGGTTGCACTCGTGTTTTTATGTACAATTATGTGGTTTGGTATCTAGAGTTTATGTTTTCAAATCTAGTTTTAATTTTTTACAAATATTATCCCAGGAACTGTAGAAAAAACAGTCTGTGTGTCTAAATCTGGCACATTTGGTTGGCCTTGTTGCTGTTTTAAGTGCTTTATAAATAAAGTGGTATGGTATGGTATTTGATACCAAACTAAAGGACTTGTGATTATAAATATTGCATTTCTAAATAAATATTTAAGCAAAAGATGACATTACTTTTGTCTGTCAACTGAATGTGTTGTTGACCTTGACATGTTTGACTTCATCAACTGGTGTGAAGGTTGTCACTGCAGCTTTTTCTGTGGCAATTTTAGGGCTCTATGTCAAATTAACCTTAGTTATGTTAATGTTTTTCACATTATTTCTAAATTTAAATAAATAGGATGGGTTGGTTTGAAGGCTTTTTTTTTCTATTTTAATTTTGAATTACAAAATTGCATCTCAAAACTTACACAATCTTTCTAGATATAACAAAGAAAGATAACTGTGTGTTGGATGTGAGGCAGTTCAGGTGTGCAACAGGTGAGCCTGCTTGTGTTGTTCTGGTTCTTACGTGGTGCCAGTCTCCAGTCGTACGGGGCTCCGCGGACCGTCTCGTTCCGGACGTAGCCTACGTTGACCAAATGTTGCACCATGGAGTGAAAATAGCCTAAAAAACCAGCAGCAGACACGCATTAATCTCATAACACATCTAGATCGTTTCACAGAAACGTTTCTAAACACAGCAAGCTTAAAAAGTGACGAAACCTTTCTAGATATATGTTGGTGAGGATTCTCAGTCATCCAGGACACGATGAAGTCAAAAAACGTTCAATACAAAAACAACTGGACTTTATTTGTAACAGAAGACGTTTCGCTCCTCCTTTCTAGATATAAATTTACAGATTTCTAAGTGGAACTTCAGGATACTTTTTATTTTAAAGTGTAAAGTTTGGCTCTAAATTTGCAATCAATCTTTTCACAGTGGTTTGATTTTATTCTCTCTTTTACTAACGAGAACAGAAAGAAGAAAAAAACAACAAAGGATGGGCACCAAGGACTGAAACTAAAAAAAAAAACCCTATGGCTGATTCACTTTTAAAGCTAACCCAATTCAAGATGGCCACCACAGCTTATCAACTTCTGCTGCAGAAGTTGATAAGCTGTGTGTGCAGAAGTTTTGCAAACGCATAAATTGTCAATTTTACAGATATTGAGCTACAATTTGATGTGGCAGTAGCTGACAGTCATTCCCAAAGTCTAAGATGAAATGTGACAATATGCCATCTTTTTAAGGACTTTAATTTATACAAGTAATCAAAGTAAATTTGACTTTTGTTGGTCTTTTATACAATGGAATCAGGATTAGAGTTTGGACATTTTAATACGTTTCCGAACTTTTAGTTTTTTCCCACATACTTGTCTAGACTGTATGAAACCCAGTGATTAATCCTGTAAATAATATTAATGTATCTCACCAGCCAGTTTGTTGTTGTCCAGAAACTCGATGGAGTAGGTCTCCCCAAACCCTGGCACTCGCACCTGCACCCCCGGTGAGTTGGAGGAGCTCCGAGTCGTCCTGTTGTAATTGAGTCTGGGAGAAACAGACTTATGTTAAAAGCTTCCCCCCTCTGTTGGCCAGAACGCCTACACGAGTCAGCAGTTGGCTTATTTAACATGAAACTAACAAAATAATTAAGTTTAAATATCTATTAAAAAAAAAAAAACAGCTGTTCAGGGAAAAGTGGCATATCATCTATGGAGGGTTATGGCTTATTATGGCTGATCAAGAAGTTTTTTCTGTTCTCTATCAGCCACAGGAGCACTAAGATCCAGAACATGTATCTGGGTGCGGTCAGTTTTACCTTATGTTATCGATCCAGCAGTCCATGCCTATCGGCATGAACATGTTGAGGTCGATCCACAGAGGAAACCAGTTCTCGGTTTTCTTGTAGCACAACCAATGAACCAGGGTGGGCTTGTCTATTTTGGCTTCCAGACGGTTCCCCAGGCTCCCTGGTACTGAACACAAAACATCAAGCGTACAGCAAAATGATCATTTGTAGGCAAAGGATGAATATATTTGGTGGGATATTTTTTTTTTATTATTAAATATTATAAAAGTTGGTGGCAGAAACAAGTTGTATTTACATTTCAAGACAGCATTGTGAGGCAGATGTACACTTGATGATAAAAAGCACCCAGATGGAGTGGTGGAAATGAAACGGCTCGAGTTAAAAGGCCATGTGAATGTTCAGCAAAGATCACATGATGAGTTTAATGAGATAACAGAGTTGGCAGCATGGGTACACTGTTGGTACCATGTCAGTGGAGCAGAACAGGGTCAACAAGTCATCATGCTCACAACCGTTGTCAGTGGACCTCAAGATCCAGCAGACTGGCACAGGGTTGGAGTTGATATCTAAGCTAATCCCTTTTAAGTTTGATGGGGAAAGCTCAGGGGACTTGGGTGTCCACTGGAGGACCTGAGCTAAATACATGTCATAGACATGTGTCATGTGTGGACAGGCGTTGAAAGACTGTACCAAGGTTCTGTCTCAGAAGAGGTAAGACATGCGGATGTATCTCTGTGCTGTCAGCGTTCCTTGAATCACTCCCAGAGCTGACCTGAAGTCAGACCCTATGGCCCTCGACAGGGTGACGCCAGAAAACACAAGCATGTCTCCACACCACTGGCATGATCAGTCCTTTCTTCTTGGTGTCGCCTGCCTATGTTCACAATGATGGCTCATCTGTGTGTGATCCAGAACTGAAACTTATTACTGAACCGTCAGCATGAGTTATAATTGTAGACCAGTGTCCCTGTTTTCTTACGTTGATGGGAGTTAAAGCCAGCAGGACCTGGTTTAGCTTCAACTTCAGGGCTCCCATAAGGTGTCCAACATTTTCCTACATGTTCATTTGTTGAACCTGACACAACGTTACACATCACCAGTCCATGCCTCTCGATTATGGCACCGACCCAAACGCAGCCACCTCTGCTCTGGTGTTAAATGCAATCGAGGAATGGGACGCTGGGTTTGTTCCTTAACTGATGCAAGTTGCAGGACGACACAGGGTGTCGTGAAGAGTCCAGTGCTCATGTCCAAGTGGCAGGTGGAGATGAAACGGGGTTCAGGACAGTAGTCTTACTTTATGTGTCTCATTTTAGGCGACTGGAAGCTTTACACCATGTGTGAGTGCCTCCACCAACTCTTTGGTGCCAACTGGGACAACTATCGGGCAATCGAACGATCAAACTCCATCAAGCGCTGCTCATGATGTGTAAAGGATCTACAAGGCGGCCTCTATGTCTGCTGACTTTCAATCACCGTGCTGAGCCTATTGGTCAACTGTCTGATAACATTATGACACTCAATCTAAACACACCAACTTCTTCTGGTCTATATATCGGACCATGACTTCTGGGTGCATGCTTACTTTTCTTTTGGTCACTGAACGTACAGTCATTCAACCTGGTTTTAAACAGTGAAAGTGTCCTTTGACCTCATGAGGAGAAGCTCTAATCCTCTACTCAGCAGCCGTTTCTCTGTTTGGTCTCGCTCCAAACAAACAGAGCTTTCTCACATTCAGCAGTTTCAGCAGCATCGGGTCCCATCTGCCCAACAGTGACACAAAAAGATCCAAAGGTTCTGCTTGGGCTGATTTGATGTAACTACCGGATGACAAAGTTTTGCAATGACATTTAAAAGACGGGGGATTAGAAGAAAAAGTCTTACAAAGATATCAGTGTCATTTAGGCTGAAGGTCTGAGGCGGTCGGGGGTCATTGAGGGTCAAGACTCCCAGTGACGTACAGTTTGAGACCATCTTAACCAGAAATACACTGAAAAACAGGAGTTTGAATATTGCCTAATAATAATAAAACTATTCCTACAAAATTGGTCCAACTTGAGGTAGGGTAACTACGTTTCTTAAACACAAAAACAAAATAAATTGAAATAAAATTCGACAGCAGATATTAGTTTTCTGCTGCATCTATCAACTTCTTTTGAGTCAACGGTCCTCGTGTTGTCTGCAGCGTCCAGCAGAGGGCTGATAAACGTCTGAATGTTTATAAATCATTCTCACTATCGAGATCCGTTTTTCTTATGTACGTTTTTCAGCACGTAACTTGTTCCATAATTTTTGTTCTGTTTCTAAAATTCATAGATCAAAACGTTCAGCTCATTCAGGGCAATTCTGCTCTGACTTTTGGTATTTGTGCAATTTTTCCTTTTTGAAATATTTAGCTTTGTCGGCCATGTTTTGTCTCATTGAAAATGAATGGAGCTCTCTTCACGTCCTTGAAACCCTTTGAGCTGTTTAAACCTTTTACTGCTCATTTCAGCTGTTGCTCTGCTTCAGCTTTTTTCAACTTTGTGCTCATTTCAGCTTTTTCTGCTATTTTTTATCTTTATTTTGTTAGATTCAAAGTTTGAGAACAAGTTTTCATTTTAAAACATGACTTGGAAAATACATTTCTATAAGAAATTTGTACATCAATACAGTACAGATATAAATTTAGCCTTTTTTCTGCTTTTCAGCTACTTTATACATATTTTTCTGCTAATGTTAGCCTTTTTTGCTGTTCTTTTCCCCCAATTTCCACATTTTGTGCTTCTTTCTGCTAATTTCAGCTTTTTCATCTACTTTCTTTTAGCTAATTTCAACCTTTTTTTGCTCAATTCTGTTTCTATTAGCTAATTTCAGATTTTTTTTAATCTACCCAGTGTCTCTTTGCCAATTTCAGCTTTGTCTTAATATGTCTGTCGTTTTTCTACTTTTCTATTTTCCTGCTTTCAGCAAATGTCAGCTGTTCAAATTCAACATTAACAGGTTAGCGATGAAACCATTTCAGCTGGGTAACTGTAATTTACATGCATTTTGTATTTTTATGTACTTTGCAAGTCCAAATGATTAAATAATAATTAAAAAAAAGTCTCTTATGTCTAAGGTTTATTTAGATTTTTATTGAAATCAGTTATAACTTAACTACTTTAACTAATTACAATCTAACAAACATAATAAAACCAAATGTAAATTCAAAATGATTTAATTTATCTCATTAACACAACGTAAAGCAATTACAAGAATAAATCATCAGAGTTTAACTAATTAAACTACGTACAATAATGCAATGATTTATTTTTGTTTTAGAAGTTATTGCAACACTAATTTATTTATGATTTAGATGGTAAATTAAAATAATTTAATGTCAAATGAACTTCAAAATTAAAACAAGTGCAAACTAATTTAATTGGTTCAAATAATGTATTTAAAGTGAGAGGGGAGCTGGATCTGAGTTTCCTCCAGTTTTAGAGGATTAAAGAGCAGATCTGGAGCTTTTAGGTTCTGGAGGAAATGACTGACTCAGCGTTTCTTACCGATGATGAGCGGCGGGGTGCTGCTGCTCGTCACATTGGTTTTGGTGTTGGGAGGAAAGACCAGATTGATGATCCAGAATCCCGACGAGTGCTGAAGCTCCAGCAGGACCAGGACGAGCAGCGCCGAGCCCAAACGTCCCGCGGATCCCATTTCTTCTCTGCGGTGGAGGCTCAGTCCGGACGGAGGAGGAAGGATGAATGTGACAGAATTAACGAGACATAAAACAAGCCGCCTGCTTCAATTGAAACTCTTCACGTCTCCGCTCCAGTCAAACAGAGGCAGAGTAAACGGGTTTGGGTCGCCTACTGACCTTTTGACCTATTGATCCATCTGAGTCACGCACAATTATTTCAACAAACGGGTCAATGATTGACAGAAAGGCTGCTGTGCAACACATCTGCCCTCTGCCATGAAGAGCAGAAAGAGCTAACCACAGCCAGATGCTAGACGCTTCCTGTGCTGTAAACATCTGCATGGGGAAAACCCACCTCCAGCTGGGAGAATCAGAACATCCGGTCAGCTGCTGGTGCTGCCTTCAAGGACTCTGTAAAATACAGCTCTTTCGCTCCTGTGTGTTATCAAAGTATCTCCAGAACATCTGAACAGATTTTTCCTCACAGAACGTAATCAAAGGGTTCACTTCTGCAACTGGTCAACTTTCAAAGTCAACCCCATTAAAGATGGCTGCCACAGCCAACCAACCTTAAAAAACACATAAATGCCGCTTTAACAGTCCATTTTACAGTAACTGAGCATCATTCCCAACACATAACCTGAGCACTGACAGATTTGTTTTTAAAACTTTGTCATTAATTATTAGTGTCAGCTCCATCTGTTAGTAAAATATCCCATGAAGTTGTGGGCAGACCCAGATATTAATCAGATATAAAGAAAATAAAAACTTCAACAAACTGACTCCATTATAAAATACTATAAAAACCTTTTGATGGAGAATTTTAGCCAGATTTAATTATTGTTTTTATGGCGTTTTAGAGGATTTCTGTGAAGTACTCAGCTCATGTCCAGTTATTGAACACTGATGGTCTCCTGTAAAGTTCCCCAAGTATCGACTGATGACAGACCAGCTCAACTTGCGTAACAGAACCGGCTGCAATCAAAGAGCGGATGAGGAAAACAGACATCACAGTACAGGTCTTACCAGATAAAGCTAATTTAAATCCACGTTTATTTACACTCCAAGTTCAATTAATAAAAATAAAATGTTTTGAGCCGAGTCAAATCTTAATTTTGTGACAAGGAGGTCAAACACAGACAAGAAGTGAGCCATAATCAGGTGCACCGTGTGAAAAACAGCTAAAAATAACAGAAATGTGGGTTAAACCCAAGAAACACATTGTTTTTGTTGGTTTTGGTGTTTGCTTGTGTTGGGGTAATGCCACACTTCAGCGTCGGCAGGTTGCACAACGTGTCGACGATAAGCTTTCCATGCGAGGCCACTGCAGAGCGTTAACTTGCAGCACGTGTCTGCTTGAAGTCGGCCACGAGGTCAGCGGCTCGACTTTCTGCCTTCCTGGAATTTACAGGAGGAAACGACAAGGAGTCTGAGCGCTTTAAAACGTTTATTTTGTTCTTAAATCACAGAATGTGCCGGTTATAACACGCAGAACCGGCTGCAGGTGACACAGAAAACACAAGCTTGGAAGGTTTTATTTTTTACGCTTGCAGAAACATTTTTAAAACGTTCAGGGGCAGCAGGAAGGGAGAGACGAATATGAGCTAATCATAAAACAACGTAAAGTTTTTAGGGTTTCTTTGGGCTGAAACAAACAAGGTCGTTATGAATTAAACAAGCAGTGCGTCAATGAAGTCCGGCGCTGACTGGTTCAAACAGTGAATGTTTGTAGTTTTCATGATGAGTGTTTTTCTGGACTGGAACTGAACAGAGAATGAAAGTAAACCTAAATGTTTTTGGATTGAGATATTCAAGTGGGGAGGAGTTATACTGTGCAGAAGAACAGAGGGAGCTTGTTTTTGTTCTTGTCTGAAGCGGCACAGAGGGACGAATCCTTGAGAGTGGAGGGAGCCATTTTATCCACAACCAGGAAGAGCCAGGGGGTGGCCAGTGGGGGCCTTGACCACCACTGATTACTCTTCGGTCACCCCAGTCATTTGAGGAAACTGTACTGTTAAGCAACGCAAAAAAAATGGAAAGCATAGTTTCCTGAAATGATTGGGTGTTTACATTCATACTTCTTCTTTCGGCTGTTCCCTTCTTTAGGGGTCGCCACAGCAAACTAAGTAGAACGAAGACCTGGCAATTATTTTTACGTCTGACGCCCTTCCTGACACAACCACAGACCACCGAGCTACCACAGCCCTGTGTGGAGCAGAGAGCTGCTGCCTATGGCACACGGAGGAGCAGATGGTGGGGGTTAAGGGCCTTGCTCAAGGGCCCAGAGTGGGGCAAATGAGGTGTGGGTGCTAGGCCTGTCACGATAACAAATTTTGCTGGGCGATTAATTGGCTCAGAAATTATTGCGATAAACGATAATATTGTTTGAAATTTGACAATAATTGCTAATTATTGTAAAATTTAAGAAGAAATTTTAGTTAATTTGTTTTGAGTGTAGTACCTTTTTTTGACCACCGGATGGTAGTATAAGACTGTTTGAACTGAAGGATGGATAGTGAGGGAGCGAGCAGTGTGTCTCTTTAAGAAAATGGGAGGGAAGCCCCTTGACGTGACATGGGCTGTCTCTCTTTGCTTTTTTCGGTTCTCAAAATGGCGGATGCAACGTGTGGTTTGAGCTCTTTAGCGTAGCATTTTTCGCACAAAGCTTTTAATAAATTTGATCGTTTTTCATGCTATTTACGTTTTATATCCAATTCAGTTTATTTCTATAGCATCAAGTCACAACAGAAGTCATCTCAGGGCACTGTACAGAAACATTCCCATACAGAAAAAGTAATTTAACATTATTTATCTGAGGAGCAGACTGCTTTAAGTCTAACTTCATCGCAGACTCTCATGATATATTCCTGGATTTCCCTAAATGTGTCAGTTTACAGCTTCGATGGTATCACTGCCGGTGTTTTTCCTGTCTCAGTTGTGTGTTTTGATTCCCCGTTTAGGCTTTGATTTGGTTTGTTTTCAGCACAGCTGCACTCGCTCACTAAAACTCGCTCACGCGTTTTGTTCCAATCGAACAACAGATTAAGGATTAAAAAAAAAAAACTTGGACAAAAGAAAACTTGTTTAGAGCCAAAATCATTTGGAAAGGATGTTGTGGCACACAAAAATGGCTACAACTCAGTCATATGAGCTAAAGTTTGGTGTGGTGGTAGCTGAGAGTCATCCCCAACACACACACACACAGCTCAGGCGCCGGACATCCAGCAGCTATTGTCATTAAGGAAGTTTGTTTTACGTTTTAAAATATCCTTTTATTGACAAAGGAACCCATTGGTGGGCCGAACTTAACTCACCTGTGGGCCTGATTTGCCCCCCAGGCCACCAGTTGAACAGCATTAGATGCAGAAACTTCTCAAATCACTGAGACGATACCTCGGAGGTCCTGTAGGGGGTTACCATTTGAAACTGCCGGCCCAGTCACCCCAGTTGGGCTCCATGGGGCCCAGCAGAAAGGTCACACTCACACCTGCTGCCCTCTCCCATCAGCCTATCACTGCCTGCAGCTCACTTCAGCAGAAACGCCTGAAAACATAAAAAAATTTAGATTCAAAACATCAAAACATCAGAAATCTACATTACAGCTGGCTACTTCTTAAATAAACCAAATTTAAATCCTGTAATTAGTTAATTGCTTGATCGGAAGTGTTTTAATTCACGGTGCATGTTGGTGCTGCCCCCTGGTGGCCACAAAGTCATTTAACTGGAAAATACAATCTGTTTTTTGTTTTATCTTACAAGAAATAAATCAAATTAAACTCATTTTGTGGTTGAATATACCATATAGATAATATATAAGTTTATTAACTTCACACCGGGGGATATTCAACACTTTTAACGCAGATAATCGTTCAGCACAAGAAGAAACTAAACAGATTTATTTATATTTTTATCGCTCACGTTGAGTCCAAAGTGAGGATTCACTCAAAGTTTGTGTTTTGAATGACTCTCCGCTACTACCACATCAAAATATAACTTAATATCAGTAAAATAATAGCATTATATACATGTTTGTGTTTCCAAAGGTCAGTTGGCTATGGCAGCCATCTTGATTCGGTTTTAACTTCAAATGTGAATCAGTTTTAGACGTTCATCCAACGATTGCTTCCTGACAGTTTAATTAAAAATCCCCTCAGTAGTCCACAAGATATTCTGCTAACAGACATAAAGACCAACTGTAACACATGCATGCAAGATCATTTCTACTTTTTATGGTTGTTTATTTGTAGTCTACTTCTGCAGACTTTCAGCTGTTTCGGGCGTTCTCATATCAAAACCGTCAGCTCAGAGCTGAAGGCACTCTAACTTTTAGTTTTTGTAACTTTTATATTTAAAAAAATATATAAAATACAACTATTCCCAACAATAAAATACACATTGGTTTCTTCAATTCCTTCAAAAATATTGCTCTCTTGATCTCCTTCAGCGAACTGCCTAATTTAGCCTTCTTTGGCTACTTTTACCCTTTAGCTACCATTCTGCTCCTTGTACATCTTAGATAGAATTTATAGCTTTAGCTATTAGCTTGTCTTTTGCTACATTTAGTATTAAGCTAGAATTTTGCAACTTTTAGCTTATGTTTCTTTTTTTATCTTTAAGACTCAGTTTCGGCCTCTTCGTCTGATTTCGGCTGTCGTTCAGCTTCACGCTTCATTATTGGAGAAAACTGTTTCTCTGGTTTAATTTAGTCTAAAACAAAAAGACACCAACAGTTTAAAGTCAAGTTTGTAGCTGAACACAAAGCCTGTCCTTCAAACTCCCGAGTCAGCAGTCGTCCTCCCTGCAGCTCGGATCAGAGCTCAGAGTCTGAGGCCCGCTGTGCCCTCTAAAACCAGCAGAACCAAAGGTTCTGATTAATATTTATGATCTGTGGTGCGCTCGAGGCTCGGGGACTTTGTCACATCTTCATATCGAGGTCATTTTTAATCTAAGTTTCCTGCATAGTCAGAATTGTTTGAACACTTATTTGTTGTCTCCAGGTGACAGATTTCTTTAAACTTTATTTATTTTTG